CAAAAACGAAATCCAATCACCAAAAGCGGTTTTGTCCTTCATATGACACAGAGAACCACACAGTGAATATCAAGTCACTGTTCAAAAAAGTAAGATATACCACAGAGCATAAAAATCCCGCAGTACCAGCGCTGTAAACAGGCCAAGTGTGGTAGCTGAAATACTTGTTTCCCCAATTAGTATACACATAAATGTCTACTGCTTCTGCAGACATCTGTATGACATGGGGTACTGCAGCTAGAAATTAGTTAGAACAATCAGACTTCTGATCTAATTAATACAACAGGATCTGTCTCCTCCTCCTGCCCTCATATCTGTATGAGAGACTCAGAGACAAGTAAAAAAACGTGGAGTCTATCGGGTTTTTTTTCTTGGTTTGAATACCAATCTTAAATGGCAATTTGTATCCAGGGTACACACCACCTCCAGTAATACCAAGATGGCTGAAGAAAACCCCACAACATTCAGTGTACTTACCACCTCTAGTAATACCATGATTGCTAAAATCAAAACACTCACTGCCACACATGCCACCCCCTGGCTAAACCACAACACTGAAGTTATACTATAAGAAGTCTGACACAAATCCATGCCCCCCGACTCGACAAGGCTCCTCACTTGCCTTTTAAGAACCAGGAGTAGTTATGTGTACCTTCAGCTAACAGGATGGGCTTGTCATCAGGGTTATCAGAGCTCTGCAGGGTCCTTCTTGCAGCAGGACAGGTCTCCTGCTCAGCATTCGTCCAGAGCACTGGTCTCAGTAAGCTGGAAGCAGTCCTGCAAGACACTGAACATCTGCACACACTTATTTATGGCACAAGTTCTACTCCAAACTCAAGATTTTGCTGCTTCATAGACATGCTAGAAAAGGTCAAGTTCAAGAACTAACAGTTTAATGATGAGCAGGCAAACAGAGGGCTTGGGAGGGCCAAAACCTTCTCCTACCCAGAGGTCACCAAGATTCATCTCCTAGAGAAATTTAAAAGTATTCAAATCTCTCATGGGACATACTGTCATTCTAAGCCTCATGACAGCGCTCCTACGAACAGTTCATGACAGCGATCGTGCTGCGAGGCAACTAGCAAAAGAACTGTTTCAATACACAAAGAAAAAAACTAAAAAAAAAAAAATCAATCATGACAGCATGAAATTTCTCTGAACTCGGTGTTTTATTGCTTCGTGATTATTAGTTACACTTTGACACAATGTACTTTGGAATAAATTGGCACCTACTACATAATTTAAAAACTTAGTATTATACAGCTCGTATAATTGGCACTATAGAAAAAGCCCAGAGATCTGTCATTTTGACCCAAGATTAAAAGAAAGATAAAATGTTTACATCCTTTATTATTGACAGGTGAACTTTCATTGTGGAAGGCCCTTAAAAATAGTGAACAGAAACTAACAACCTAAATGCCCTCCAAAAATATATAAAACCAGGTAAATCGCTCCCTTCTTTATACCCGTCTTTTTGCTTTGGTACTTTTAGTACCCAAGTGCACAGTAACTCCCTCATCTCCTTTAAGGAAAAAAAAAAAAGTAACATGGTCAAGTCTACACTGACTACTGTGGGTGACAAGGAAAGACTCCCACACACCATCCTCAGCGCCCACACAAAGAGCATTTTCATCAAAAGTGACATTGCCTCAGGATTTAACACATCCCAAGAGGTTTATAAATACCAAACTTTTGTTGTTTTTGGTTTTTTTAAGCAATAATTATTTTGAATAAATAAATGACAGCTGCAATAGCTGCCTTTGCTTTGGTGACCAGTTATCTATATGCAGCATAAGTTATCTTCATAAAGCAAGTGATGATATAGTATAAGTGAAGTCCCTGAGGATCAGCATCTCTGTTCAACACGTTTGTTTCACAATGTGTGTGGACAGTGTGGAAAACAATCAGTCCCAAGGCATCTGCTTTTTAATCTCCGAGCACAGCTGCAGACGACACAATGAATTATTTCTGTACCTCTTCTGTAGGCAGGAATACGTAAATAAAACGAAATACTTAGTAGGTGGTGGCAAGGAATTAGTTCTCCTAAACGTGGACTAAGTGCTCCACCTTGTGTTAGTCCTTGGCATTCAACGAGAACCTCTCGATGCCTGCTCAATAATTGCAGGTCCAGCAGAATAGCTTACGATTTCTTCTGCCTGTGAACTAGTGTTGTCCATGGTGCCATATGATTGCTGCTCCTTATGGGCAAGCATCGTCCTTTCTGTAGAATGAGGATGCAAAACTCGGGGGACGTACATCTGAAATCACAAGCGTTAAGGATTTTACTAGTGTCTCAAAGTATAACGTTGAGATAATTCACCCAGGATAATTTTTCCCCTCGCCACTCTTCTTTTCATCCATTTCCCATTCTTCACCTTAACACCTAAGGCCTTTCGCGCCCTACTGGAGGCTTCCTGGTGCAACACTCACCTGTACTTGCAGACTGTGGCACAAAGACTCTATTTCTACCTCAGTCCTACATCCTTTTTAGTGACATGGCAGGTAAGACCTACTACACACATCACAACTTTCAAAGTCACAAAGCAGTGGCAACTGACTGCACTTGGCAGCTGTCCAGAGGTGAGGATCTGCCTGGTGTAAGGCCCAGAACACAGTGTACAGAGCTGCTGGAAGTAGCGTGTCTCAACTACTCCTACAACGTCAGCCGAAGGTACTTCTGGAACACCACCTCGGAACAGTCAAGGAGCCCAGCTGCAGAACTCTCTGGTCCCACAGTCCATTCAGACTAATACGTCCTACACAAGCTCTTTGGTAAGCAGGGTGAGAAATTAAGTTTTTCTAGGAAATGTAGAGAATATTAGTAACTCTTAACTTCTTACAGAAGATGTTGGGATGGTTGGTGCATCTGTATCATTTCCTCTTTCACATTGCGTGTCTTCTATCTGTAACCAGTAACAGGTGGGGAAAGGAAGAGAGACAATATCAAATTAGTAAGTCAAAACAATATACAGAGATTGTAAGCGCCCCAAAACCTGCACAGAGAGATCTCTGTGGAGCACTGGTGCTCTCTCCTCCTGCATACTTCTTCCATACTGCTCTTTCCTGCTAACGTTGCCAGACTTTCCACTGTGCCAGCCAGCCTGCCTCTACTATCAGCCCTCTTTAGCCATCTTACCGGAATGAACCTTTGCAGACAGACGTTGCTAGCGAGGAGGCACAGACAACCCAGTAGGAATAGCTGGCGCTACATCAAGCACATAGGTAGGTGCTGAAAGGTGTTAGGTATCCATCGCTTACCTTATAATTCAGTGGGCTCAGGTACTTGAAACAGCCAAAACAAGTATAAGCCAAGCAAATAACAATTGTGATGTTGACAACTAGAAAGGTAAACATGGTTGTAGGTGCTTTAAAGCCTAGAAAAATATCCAGAAAATACAATATTAAAATACATAGCAGGAAAAAGAAAAACCAACCAACCAGACCTTTACTTCATCTTCCCCATTTTCAGAAGCATTGTGGGGTTTTTCCCTTATAGGACTGGGCACACCACTTCCAGCCACAAACAGGAGCGCTTCATTATACACAAAGCTCATTGACTGGTAAAACTGCTGAGCAAGTTGGTTCTCCAGCTTCCTTAAATGCCAAGAAAGGCAGCTGCAATATTTGAATGATAAGCAAGACTCACAGCAATTCTCCTCCTCCTCCCTCATTCATCTATTCTGGACTCAATTCTAAAATACTTTCATTAATGATCTGTGAAATGTAATAGAATCCATTTATTAAATATCATGATGCCACCAAACTAGATGGCTTGCAAACAACCCAAAGGAAAAAAATAATAGGAAAAAAAGAAATCAAAATTACCTTGATAGATGACCCTACCCTCTTTCAAGGACAAAAAGAACTCCACAAAACACAAACAGCAAGATGAAATTGTATGTAGGAAACTGTAAGTAACTAATTTGGAAGGAAAAATTAAACGTAGATACGAGGGATAACAAGACTGCAGCACTGCAGAATACAACTGATTACAAGCTGGAAAGCAGTCAATAGTGTGATGCTATCACAAAACACAGGAAGAAAACAAAAGCAGCAAATCTCTGGTACCTATACAAAGTTATCTGGTGCTACTGAACCTTCAACATGAGCAGCCCTGTCTGTGTAGGACACCACGATAAAATATGGACAGAACTGGGAGGAATCCAAGGAAAAGGAACAAAAGAAGAAACTGAGTAAACATGAACTAAGCTGAAAGGTAAGTTTTTCTTCAGAGACAGAAAGAGAGAAAGAGAGAGAGAGAGAGATAAAACTATAGGAAAGGATATGGTTGCAGCCTCTAATATGGAAAAAGTTATAATAATTATAGTGACTTATTCTTCAGGTCCACTGGGGACATATTCTGAAGAAATTAATCTCATTTTGCAGCAAAGATTATTTGAATGAGATTTGAATAAGATATTGGGGGGGGGGGGGGACCACAACAAACCAACAGACAAAAAAACCCAACCCAAAACCTAGCTGTTTCCAAACTTCTTTAGTCAAAAGAGGCAACACCAATCCTCACATATTTTTGTGGTAACCCCAGCATATGTAGTGGCATACAACAGCTAAGTTTTACTTTTTGGCAGGTTATGTAAGCTCTGTGCAAATCTGTTCATGAGGGGGAAAAAAAACAAACCAAAAAACCCACACAACAAAAAAGCACACATCCCCCCCAAATGAAAAAAAAAAACCAAAAAACAACCAACCCACAAACATATCACTGTTCAAACCAAAAAGGGAAGTGAAAAAACCTCCCTATGGGTATTCTGGAATGTCCTTTAGAAGAGGTTGTTTTTATAAGTGTAGGTTACGTCAGTATTTACCAGCTGGTGAGGCATGTCTATACCAAAGCCAATGTATGGTGTGAACCACAAGGCGAACAGCAGAGGTCAGGGAAGAAGAAATCTCCAAATATCAGTTTTCCCTGCCCTATGCCCTCACAGCAGTCCTCCCTGCCAACAGCTCTAGAGAACATGGGACTTCAGTGACTATTCCAGGAGACAGGGGTGGAACTGCAGATACCATTGCCACCTCTGTTGCAAGAGGCCCAGTGGTGCTTGGTGTATGATGGATGGATGGCACGAGAGTTGAGGGAGAAAACAGCGACCGAGAAAGAAATAGATGACACCAGTACAGCCTATCAACTTCTGTATGCAGTCAAGTGATACTTGATCCTGACTGAGAGCTGGGATAGAAGTCCTTCCAGCCTTGTATTACTCTGTTTTCTCACTTATATTAATATCACTACTCTGCAACCAGGCTGAAATATCCACACCAGGCAAACCATACAAATCAATGACTAAGCAATAAAGCTTTACACACCATGAACTGATTTATTTTGCAGATAAGGAAGCAGAGTACTCTTCCCCCTCCTTCCTTCTCTTTGGCACAAGAAGCAACAGTGAAATCAATGGCAATGAAATCAAAATCTCAAGTTCCTCCCTCTCAGACTCATACCACTTGGCTAGACTGCCCTGTGCACCGACAAATCACTGAACAACATCCTGGAAACAGGATCCTCTACACTGACCAAGCCAAACACGGTAATCCGGTCTGTGGTTTCCATTACTAGGTTCCATAACAAATGATGGTTTTACCACAGATGCAGAATGAGAAAACATTACTATAAAGATTTAATTTTTGCTACACCAGGATTTCCTTCATAACAATTAAAGAGGTTCATCAATTGCTGTGTGTTTGCAGATGATTTTTCTATCTAAAGCATGCTCTAGAAATTCTACTGTTATTTTAGAGGACAGATTTGTTGGTCTTCCTGGTTGCAAAGCTCCAAAAATACAGGGGAAAAAAAGCAGCTCTCAAACATACAAGTAATGCAGGGACATCTGCTCAAATCCAAGGACAGCCTGAAGCAATAGTTCCGAGTGCCTCTCGCATCCACAGGGAGCTACCTCTAAAGTTAGATGATGGTCTGCCAACAATATCTTTTTTACTACTGGTATGCTAGAAAATCACAATGCCAGCATGGTCATTTCTCATCAGTGCTATGAAAGCAGAGACAAGGGCAAAATACTATTAGGTACCACGGTCCTCCTTCCCAAGAAGGGAAGCTCATCTCCTTCTGGCATCACCAGCATCCCTGTTCCATGCCAAATACTTCCTTCTACATCACGGATAAAAAGCCGGAAGCTATAATCTATCTATTCTGATGTCAAAACTGTTAGTATACCACAGCCAAAGCTATCAATGCCAAATATTTGCAAAATACAGGAGGTCTCTATTTTTAAAATAAATGACATGCAAAACATGAGGTTTTAAATTACAATATGGGGAGGAGAGTCACCATCTCACTGCAGTCTTCCATGTAAAGTTTGTCGGATTACGTAGAACATAGGTCTTACTAGCATTAGCCAATATTCTAGCAATTCTTTCTAAATCGCAGCTGTACAACAAAGGCAGTAGCCAATTCACGCAGGCAAATTAAACTTATGCACAGACTACACAAACCCAGGTAGTGAAGCCAGAGACCATCTTACTAGAAAGAGCTAATTCAGAAAAGATTTTTTTTTGTTTAATGATTTTTACTGTCTGTCACTCCACTGGCCAACTGACCAATTCAAACTCTACAGATTTAGGGAACACATGACCTCCTGTAAAATGAAGAAATATGAAGCTCCATGCTAACAGGTTTAAGTTAACATATCAGCCATCTCCATCAGATTATCTTATGCAAATTCACATAAGCTGCAAATGTTGTGTAATTTAGAGCCACAGGTAACCACCATGACTTCCCAATTATGGAAGCAAAAAGAAAAGCCCACAAAGCCTATGAAACTTCACATGTAATTTCAGTAAGTTGGCACGAGAGGTAGGAGCAGCTTCTAGGTCGAAAAAGGTAATGCTTACCTAGCCGCAAAAATGAGAAAAAATAGAGCCAGAAAAGGCAGAGAATTGGAGCTGCGAGGGCCTGATTCACAGCTGCAAAGTGCATCTTCTTCTCCAGCTTGGCAGGGAGATATGCATAGTAAAGGTTATAACGGTCAACCATGTGCTTCAGGAGTATGTATATTAAGCCTGCAAGTAAAAAAGGGAGAGCCAAGGAGAGGTTGTTGAGGACTTGATACAAAGCAACAATTCTGTGAGAAGATCTAGTGACTGAAATCACCAAGTGACTGAAAATCTAGATACCACTGGTGGACACAGCCCAAATATGAATGGGGTACAGTTGCACAACAGCAGCCTGCTCCTAAGGTTGTTGCTTCCCCACCTCAAGACCCCGGGGCCTCCCCGTCTCCACACACTCTTCTGTGGCACCACTCGTGCTCCCAGAGAGAGCCCACAGCTTCTTCCTAGTGCTGGCACAGGAGGCCAAGCGGGTAGGGAAGACTCAGTAACTCCTCCACCACCGTACTGGTAAGGAAGAAAGGTCTAACAGTGGCTTAATGTCTCCCTCTCAACCTTCAAAAGATTCACAACTGGATTTCAAGTCGGTTACTGCTGTGACAGCTATGAATTGTAACAGCTCTGGTATGCAGTAGCACATTCAGATATTTACAACTGTGCACAAAATGAAATATATATAAGTATCACGTACATTGTTACAAAATAATCGTCCACATTCTCCCAATAATAAGGTTGATTAAAACCAGTTCTGAACAATATCTGATTTAGCTAATTATGTTCTATCTAGCTTACTAAAATTTTGGATTACAAAAGGAAAATACCAACTATATAAAATGATTCAGTACTACTTATGCCTGATAAACAGGTTTCCAGAGTGGAAGTATCTGTAGCTGCTGAAATGATTCCTTATACATAATTCTTATGACAATCCAGAATCTCTGTGAATGAAAGATGCAGTAAAATAAAACTTAGATCATGTCACAGTCACTACAGATGGACAACTGTCCGTGAGTTCTAGACAGATTGCTAAATTTCTTCCACACCCATACAGGATTTAATGGCTGATACAGGAAGAAGAAAGTAGTCAAAGCCAGATATATAGGCAACTTAAAGCAGAAATGTTAAGTTTTGTTCATGGGACAGAGATAAACCAACTGAATAAGAGAAACAGCCTAGAAAAAGGATGTCTGTGACTTAGAGATCTGGAGACCTTCTCAGGGTCCTGTAGGACTGCAGCTCCATCTCACCACAAGGCAGCTGCGCTCCACCCACATGCCCCGAACTCCTAGATAACTGTTTTCTGAGCCAGCGAATCTACCAGAGCATACAGCATTTCCTTTTCCCACCAAAGGGCAGTTATGGTGTTCACCAAGACCATGTCCCAGCAAAGCAGCCAGCATATCGTTAGGTCACATCGCTGGGGTCAGGGCCACGGAGCATACAGATGTCCATAGCACAGTGATGACCACAGTGCCTTTTCTCATTCAGGATGTCGATTTTTAGATAAATGGTTTGCAATGCAGAAGAGCTGCAGTAGTGAAAAGGATAGGTAGTTTTCCAGCCTCTTGCCACTGGTTCAACATGCTTATTTTTGTGCTTCATTTTACATACATCAATCAAACTTTAGGAGAAAAGTTATTTCAAATGTGCCTAAAGGATTTTAGGATCAGAATGTCAAGTTTGGCTGCTTAAGGTAGACCTCCAGGCTAGGTACCCTCTGCAGCTTGCTTCTCCCAAACTTCAAGAGATAAAAATCATCCCCTCATCCCCAAACCTACCTAAACTCCTACGCTTAATTCTTAAAAACCAACACCAGAGCTAATACACTCAGACTTGAGAAATAAAATAAGCATCTAATAGACATTAAATATACTTTCAACTTCTAAAGGCAGTACAAGAGCTAAGTAAATGACCGCCTTCTGTCCTGTTTTTCTGCAAGAAGGGAGGGAAACTTGGATCCATGTCCTAAGGATTTATCAACATTGGAACTGGAATAAGAATGGAGAACTGGGCCTTCCAAACCTCCCACATGCCCCCATCTCATTCACACAGTGCCCACAGCTCATTGGAAAACTTACCAAATGGGACAATGATGGGACACGTAATGCTATAGGCCATGATGACAGTGAACACGCACAACATCCAGGCATACATTGCTCCAAATTCATATTCAAATGCTTGTTGCTAGGAACAAAAACAGAACACCCAAAACTCTAATGCCATCTATAAATGATGTGTCAGGAGTTAAGAATAGATTCCCTAAAGCAACAATTCACCTTCTCTTATTCTCTCGCTATGAGAGATGATCAGTCATTTCTCTCGCTATGATCAGTCATTTCCCTATGAGGCATAAATGACATAACTAGAGAGATGAAGTATTATGCGTTTTAAGCATCTGTACTTACAGAAAATATGCTGCTTCTTTCATAGTCTTAAATTAATACTTCAGGGAATCTGTTTTCATCTACGAGACGCAACTACTTGAAACCACAAGGCAGAAAATAGTTGTGCCAAACTCAGAACCTCCATCCCACTGCAGATTCCTCTGAACCTGTATCATTCCTTTGAACCATTCCAACCTCGTGTTGGCTTTCCCAGTAGGGAAAAAAAGCTTTGGTGTGGTCAGTATTCCCACGTTTTCCTCCTGGGATGAGGAAATCAATATAAATCATGTCAACCAGCACAAGGGGTAATATGGTACAGTTAACAGAAGTGAATGTTTAAAAGAATCTTTCAAAAGTGGAACCCACCCACTGAAGAAAAGGAAGAAGAAGAAGGAGAAAAGGAAGAAAAAGGGCAGCTGTATACAGGCTTAAATTCCCATTTTAACACCTGGAATTTGACACATCATCGGGAAGTGCAAGTCCACCACTTAAAATGGAATACAGACAATAAGCATGTATTTTGCTAGGTGTATGTTCAGATGAAAGTAAGTTGTACACACCTGCAGGGTGACAGAAGAAACTAACTATAGACAGATTTGAATTTTAAAATACCTGAAATTTAGACTATAAGATAAGATCAGAATTATCCTATAAAATCCAAATCATAAAACTCTGACTTGGAGCTAAGAAGAGAATAATACCTGAAGTTCAGAGCTTGGGTTTTGATTTTTGACCATCTCTGACTTGAATAAATACCTCCCCATTATTTGGGCTGCAAATGAAGGGAATATGAACCTGTCACAGATAAGTGAAACAAAGGCCAAAAAAAGACAGACAGGAGATTGATAGTTAATGGTATGAAGGATGGAGGCTTCCACTGTTTCTGATAAGGATCAGTCATTTAATTGCCTTTTGTTAAGGAGTGGCTCTAATACCTGTTTAATATTTTTCCTTTCTGCTGTGGACTTGGCCATTATCATGCGTATGGTGTAAAGAATGAGGCCAGGCAGGCGCAGCAGCTCCATCCCATTGCCAATGAAAGCAGAAGCAATCACATAGTTCACAAAGAAGGCTCCCTGGTCAGGCAAGAAGACACATCTGCAAGGAAAGACATCAGACACTGACTGGAAAGCAGACAAGCAAATAGAGCATATATACACACAATGGATCCTTTGGAAATCTCTTACCATAAGGATAAGGACTGGACACCATACGAAGTGGCCAGAAGACTTCCAATAATCTTACTGAAAGCGAGTACTACATAGCTGTAAATGCAGTGAGTGTAGTATACTGTAAAAGCCTGGCTGAGTTACCATATGGATGAGGAATAAACTGCTCAGGAAAAGATACAGCAGTCTGATGAGTGGCTGATAGTTGACAAGAACATCATTTGATGTCTGCAACAGCAACCCAAGATGAGATAAGACTGCAATAGAATAATTGTCTCTCTCAGCTTAGTAACTCCTAATTGTTGTCTTCTTACTGATGAAACAGCATTTGGAAACCTAACTATGTCCTAATAATTGCATTATATTCTTTCCCTCCAGCCACAGTCACAAAAGTTTATAATAACCAGTATCTGCCAATTTGCAAAGCTGGTGTAAAAATGATCATGTTTCTTAATTTTAAGAGTCAATGGATTTCAGAAAAAGAGAACTGCTGCAGCTGTTTGGTCTCACTGTAATCCTTGGGAAGATCCCCTGTCCATGATATGAAAACAATCCTCAGTACATTTTCTGGTCCCCTTTCACCTGCATCGTATCATCCTGTCCCTTCTTGTTTTCTACAAAATTCATAAGGTTTGGGGAAAAGAACTGTCTCTTTACTGAATGCTTGCATACATTAGCTAGCAGGAAAAAAAGTATGGATTTCTTCAGAGCAAAATCACTTGCATTCTCCTCCCCTTATTCAGAAGCTCAACATGATCCCACAGGGTACCAACCCCAAGCAAATTTTAATAAACATTAACCAAGGTTAGTCAACAGCAAAAGAAGTCCCAAGTATTCCTTTAGCAAAGGGTTCCTAATACTTACTCCAGTCTAACTGCAGAATCAGATGATTCTCTGTCAAACAGCCAACGGAAAAAAAAATCAAGGCTGAAAGAAAGATGGTTAATGTAATTCAGTCTCCAACAACTCAGTACTGTATAAAATGGCTTCTCTCTAAGCAGTTCAGATCAGGGTAGTGGATACAGAGAATTTAATCTAATAATCTGAACACCACTTTAGCTTTATCACAGTTACTGATAGTCAAAAATAAGAAAAAAGATACAGCATCAAACAAAACAGAAATATCTATTTCATACTAAAGGCTTAATGATTAATTTTTAGCAGTTATTATATAGACAGGACAAATACATATTACCCAGTTAGCCAGGGAAACAGTCAAATACTGTAAAGGTGGAAAGAAAAGGACAACTCTTAACTGAAGTATAGGACATAGTCAGGAAACTGGGTTCTCAGCTATGATGATGAGCATGGGCAACTTTGAATTAGTCACTGATCTTACAAGGTATTAAATTTCTCTGCTAAAAGTCAGCCTTTGGAAACTTTAAGGACTATGAGGTCCTCAGATGAAAGACGATATGTTGTCATTACGCATAACAATACACACTGGAGGGAGTGGGGCTACATCAACTATACCTCAACTATCAACTAGAAAACAGAAGTTGCCTCATATGACAAAGATACTCAAACATTACTCCATCAAACTATGATTCTTTACCTGGTCAGACCAAGGGAGGGCAGAATCAATACCATGAAGATCAAAAATATGTAGACTTTATGCATCATTATTCTGTTCTCTGCAGATCTACCAACATAAGAAGTAACTGAGTAAGAAACTCATACAAAAGACTTCCACACATGAAGGATCTTGCCCAGAGAATGTCAGCACCCATCAGACTTCCAGTTTCCCTTACCATTGCTACATGATACTCACAAAACAAACATCTTTGAGATATTCACTAATTTGGAACAAGCAGGCTCTCAGTATCTTCTCAGGCAAAGAAAACATTTCTGAACATTAACCCAGACTCTGGATTAGCATCACTACAGGTGATGCACCACAAGCAAGGGGATGGACGACAGTCACAGCTGGTCTCTCATCCAACGATACTCACATCTCACAACAGCTTGTAAACAAACAGCTCTTCAAGTGTTATGCCACGAAGGATTAGGCAGTTCGTAAAAGGGCACCACTGCCAAGAAACCAGACACTTAAGACAAGCTACTTGACTGTCCTTGCAAAGTGTCAAGTCTCTGGGAACAACATGACACTACTAATGGCTATAACCCCTACTACAGTAGCAGGAACATCTATCTAGTGACACACTGTTGCCAGAAAAGTGCAGCGATTGTTATAAACAATTCAGACTGTTAAAGGTGGTATCTGATAGGGTATTAAAACCACAGAGGTTTTATTATAGGATCATGTAGCCCTTGGGCACTGTGGGACGTATCAGTATAACTACACCAAGGCTTGAAATCAGATCTGCGATCACCAGTGACTTTTGAAAACTATTTCAACTGACTGAGAAGGGCTCAAAGTTCATGTGCCTCATGCAACTACCAAAAAAAAAAAATTAAAAAAAAATGTTGAGAAGAGCATGCAGCTTTGATGAATAAACAGTAACTTCTGGACATGATGTCTTACAAGGGAATGGTACTAAAAATTAATAGGTCCAAAAAAATTGACCTTAGAACATAAAACCAAACAAAAATGGCTGCCGGCATTATGGGAAGAGATTGAGTGAAGCTGGTATTCAGTGCGCAGCATAAAGCTTTTAGCTGACTGCAGGTAAACTGGGGATGAAACCTGGTATGTCAAACTAAGCTGTGCTGAGTTCTCCAAGTTAGCAGCACATCACTGTGCTTGGCGTCTCTGGAGTGCACTGGTCATATCTGAAAATCTTGCATCAAGACAACCTATGGGACCAAAGCCCAGCAGATATCTCAGATCACCACTAACAATATCCAACAGCAACTGAGTCGTGCACCAAGAGTTATAACCAGACCATTTTTACCAAACAAAACAATGACAAGATGGATGCCCTTTCTATAAGCAGCATGCCAGCAGTTGGAATACTTTCTGTTGAAGGGGATTCTGGGGGTTTGTGATGTTCTCAGCCTGGAGGGCATCCAAACCCACAAGTCCCATCTTCCCAGAGTGTGATCTAGTTATGGGATCAGAGGCACTTCCCATACTCCTGTTGAAGCTACACCCCCTCAGCCTGCTTATACTTTTTTTTCTGATTAAATGCAAAGAGGCAGAGGGGGAAGCATAAGCAAATCATGTGGACAGATTACACTTGCTCTGTTGATTACAAATAACTCAAACTCCAAAGTGTTGGTTATAACATTAGAACGAGACAAGAACATGACATTCCCTGCTACGAGAGGTCTGTGGATTTAAGAGTTCCATGAAAGATAAGCACTTTCTCCATTTATTTTTAGTAATTCAGCTGATAAGGCCAAAACAGAGGAAAATCTTGCTTACTTTGTCCAGTGGGACTCCAGCAAAGTTGAGTAATAGACAATTGTTGGTAGCAAAGCTGAGAAGGACCAGAGCAAGAGTGTTGGGAAAAATTGACTGACGATGGGATTCTAGTGGGGGGAAAAAAGTAAGAGTAAGTATTAAAAACGTTTTAAAGCAGCTGTGGTAGAACAGAGGCTGCAATATTTTGCTTTTTGTAAATTATAGCAGGTTGGACCGTTGAAATCATATGCAAATGCAGCCTTAAATGAGCAAGTGCTCAGCACTGGTGTGCAAGACAAAAAACAAGAGTAGGACTGGGAATTAAATTTCAGGAGAGTGAAGTCTCACAAGCAGTTTTTACGTAGCTTACACTAGCCTGGGGAAGTATTTAGAATGAACAGTTTGCAAGGAGACTTTAGCTGCTGTCAGACTAGGACCAGATATATATGCCGTCCTGTTCTGAATCTAAAAGCAAAATACGACCACAACATTTTACTTCAGAGCTTAAAATCTGACTTCCCCCTTCTCAACATAAAAATCAAAATACAAGTTGAAATTCCATTTTTGGCAAAGGTTTTTGATTACAAAATTTAGGATTGTGTCAATTTGGAACGCAAATTTTTACTACAAACAAGTATAACATTTATAATAAGATAAAGTTTCAGATGAAATTATTTCAGCCTACTATCAAGGAACAAAAGAGGAGTAGAGACCTGATTCTGGACATATGCTTTTTACTCAGCAGTTACGTAAAACAATCCTGAGAATTCCAACTAAATTTAGCTTATAGTGACTGTTTCACTGTCTTACTATACACTTATCAGCTTATCAACATTCTGGTCCGATACACAGCTATATCCAAACATACGGTGATACTCACATTAAGGTAGTGAATAGGTTTAGTGACATTGAACTTGTCCATGGTTGAAATTATTATGGAAGGAGTAGTAAGAAAAAACAGTACAATAAAAAGCAGCAAATTAATGCAAGCCCATCTAAACCACCATTTCAGTCCATGCACTGAAAGATTTTTCCTGGGGGAAAAAAAAAAAAAAAGGACAAAAACAAGTAGTAAGCATTTACTGTTAAAAAAAGATATATATACTATCTGTGAAGCAACAGATAGCACTGCTTTTTCTAAATTGAGCTTTCATAGTCTCAAAGTTATACAACAAAGCACTACACAAGTTCCAGCTGCTATTAGAAATAAAACTGTGCAGCTTTTCTTGAATGATAACATAAATTGCACTTGCAGAAGAACATATTTAGTCTTTCATAACACAAACACAATGTCTAATGTAGTTATGGCTTGGGATGAAACACTTCCACTGTTTAATAATACAGAAGTACTACGCAAAGTTAGAACAAGAAGAGACAGATAGAAAAAGATACAGAGAATTTCTGCAAGCAGAATAGCTATTAGAGGCAGAATCTACCAAGAAACTGTGATTTTAAAAAAATAAGTAAAAAACTTTGCATCCTTTCCTGCCATATTAAAAGAACAATCACAGGTCTTAAACTGGTAAAGTTCTTAAATGTTATCTGAAATGGTTCCCAAAGGGACTGGAATGATTTGAACCCCAGCCACAGCCAAGTATTTAGAACAGACAAAATGAGGATACAGAGGCTCAGTAACATTCCCAGATATGACGACTCTTTTTGTGAGCCTAGGTAAGTAACTTGGCAAATCCCTGAGCCTCCTCTTCCTCAAAGGGGAGAGGAGGGGGGAAAAAAAAAGCAACAAAAAAACCCCAACAAAACCCCACCATCTTCTCCTCTCAGAGATGTTTAGAAAAGCTTTGTAAGTGGTTCAACCCACTGATTATTTACTGTGTCTATAAGACAGTGCTTGAAAAAAGGAAGATGAAATGAAGCACACAAGCATGCAAGAACCCTTTCATGAAAAAGCCAGATTAAACTGACCCTACTTGGAGAGCAGCTTGCAAGAGATTTTTAATTCACATCTCAAAATAACACAGCTGTAAGAGACACAGCTAAGAATCATGGTTGTTTGCTTTATGTTTAAAGATTCTGTACTTTATTCCCCACCACAGAACTGTAGTTCTAGACAAAACATCTCAATTATTAGAAATAAATGCCATAGTCAACCATAAAATTAATTTTCTATTAAAATCATTAGGAAAAAATATTGTGGTTTTTTTTAAAGTTATATACAGGTAAAATACAGTAACTTGTGCATGTTTGTGTCTCACTTGCAGTTTTGGTTTGGGCAATGGAAGTTTCACAACAATTTTACTGTCATATGACCAGGGGAGTATACTGATCCAACCCTAACTTACTTGCAAAGCAATTGGAAAACATTTAGTCATTTCTAGCCTATAACCATGAGAGAAAGTAGCACAGGAACAGTTTCATTCAAAAAGCACTTATCTATTTTCTGACACTCTCCTGTAAGTGGTGGGTAAAATCCTGGAAATTTAATGGGTCAATAAAAAGATGCGAGAAGACAGACTGTAGTTCACAGAGTGGATCAAGTTATACTTGTCACGTGGCAACTTAAAAAAATAGACATACTTGGAGAATACTCAGCACTAACACCAAGTTGCTTTCCTCAAGTCTCAACAGTAAATATGCATTAACCTCAAAAAATGGAGACACTGAGGCACAGACATTAATAAGCTTATTTTTTTTAATTTTTTAATTTTTTTTTTTTTGTTAAAAGTTAACAGGAACTGCAGGTACCAGAACTTTGGAATGGTAAAACTAGTCAGCTTCTGGGAGGCCTCCCCACTGTCAATGAAGAACACCAGTAATGGAAATAAAGGTGCAGATTAGCCACATCCAAACACTATAGAAAGTCTTAGTTTAGGGTAAAGAAAAACGTACTCAGCCCCCTTCTCCCGTTCTAAACCTACACTATCAGAAATAAATGGATGTAAGACAGGAATCTTACCAACAAATATTCTCAGGATAAGGAGCGTATGTAACCTCCCAGTTTGATACACACAGGTCCCTGCTGTAGGATGATGGCTGGGGTTCTCCTTTGCACTTAATACTCTGACATTTGCAGGCATTGAAGTCCTTAAGGATACTGTAAGGAAGAAAAAGAGGAGGATTTCTCCAAATTTTTACACCTGAAAATGCTGCATATATAATGAGAAAGACTGGGAATAGAGATAAAGGTACTTAGACAATAATGTAACATTATACTATGCATGTAATGACCATCATCTAAACAGTTACTACCACAGGTCTTTGAGATCTGACAACGCTGGAAACAAAGCGCAGTCTTGATTTGAACTGTTCAGTGCTTTTACCAATACGAAGAACAGCGCTAACTTGTATTAAAAATCTATTCAAAAAATAAATCAAAGCCAGAGAGCATTAGAAATAATAAAGGCAGGCAGATCCCCAAGCATCTCTTTATGTAATTACAGCTGTTTTCAAATCAAAGCAAACTAAAGGATTAGTCTGCACTCTCATTTCATTACATTAGTATCAAAACTAGCCAATTTTGCCTTGAGTACCAATTCTCAGAAATTTTTTTATTGTGCTGGTATTCTCAAAATTCAAAATATTACTTTCACCCACTCCTAAAATAATCACAGCACTTAATTTTATCTTCTAATATTATGAGTTGATTGACAATCAATGTATTTAAACAAAATGTAAACACACAGAGAATAAATGCTTTCAAACTTTTCTCAAAACACAGCAACAGAAGTGCTAGGCATATATTCAGAGCCAGTACAACTGTGTGTGTGTGTTGCTGTGTAAAAAGTTCCACTCCAGATAAGCTCTATTACACCAGCATGGAAACAATATATATTGTATTTGAACAGGTACACTCTAAAATTCCTGAACATGCTTGTTTCTCAGTTGTGCTCTTAACAAAGAAAACAGAAACACACGCACAAACACCAAACAAACAAAAATAAGCCCCAAACCCCAGATCTTTACCTTACCAGAATTCAAGTAATGATGTCAAATTGCCAGCATCTTGCAGCAGCAAGTATTTAAAAAGTTAATTATATTTTGACAGTGTATTTTTAAAAATACATACAGAGCAAACTTCAGCGCTACTGGCCATACTACCAAGCACCATCATTAACCAAGCTTCTACAACCACATGACTCCATGAACTCCAGTCTTGGCTTCCTGTTTCTCCCATCCTATTTCAGGGCTCTGTGGAGCAGAGCCCACTAAGGGCACCAAATAACTTTCTAATTTGATAGTAGCCTCAGCTTCATATGTCATCTAATTTAATTTTCCAGAGAACGGAGTCTTCCACATCAATTCCAAGTTAAAAAAACTAAAATATTTTCAGTTCTTGATAATTGCACTCAGAGGTGCCTGCAGTGCAACTGAGAACACATGCTGAAGGAGAGACTACCCCATCAAAATTTTATACAACAAATTAGCAGCTTGAGAAGAAACTTCAGTGCTTATTTCTTCTTCCAGTTTCACATCTTAAAATGTTATTTCATGCTCTAGATTCTCTAAATATAGTGTGTAACACTACAAAATTAGAAGGGGGGGCAGATTTCACCACCTATAATCACTACTCAGTTAAAGAGCAGCAAGCAAAACTTTCTGCAGCATCTCAAATTCTTGCAAGGAATTCTATACCCTGGACTTCCTTTGGGGCGGGGGGGGAGGGGGGAAGAAAAAAGCCTGAAAGACTTGTCTGTGTTCTTTTGACCTTTAAGTCATGTTAGAGAGACATTTAAAACAGAGAAACTATGAAGAATAAAGCTATGAAGAATAAAAAAGGCATGATGCGTTATTTTTGCAATACAAATATTGTTCTGCTTCCCTTCTTCACCCACCTTGTGTTACTAAAAAAACGGATAAATCAGTAACTTGTATTCAAGAGCCAGTTAGTTCAGACTACTATTAACCTACACTGATGGACTGGATCGCACACAGAAGAGAAAGACTCCTTATCCCAATAAATGTCCAGACCCATTTAGTCCCTCATATTTTCTTCACTTGAAGCATACAGGCTAAGTGCACGTGTACGGGAAAACTTACCGGAAAGCAAAACAGACCAAATCCACAGGATGGTGAAGCAGAAGAAAGGAAGAAGAACCAACATAAGCAAACAAGCAACACAAACAGGACATCAGTTAACTATTATAGTTAAAAGAGAACAAACAAGACAGCAGACAAAACTTACTAGGTTGCCATAGATTTCTCTTGAAATGTTACAAAAGCCATTCCCAGTGGGTTATTATGAACAGCTTGTTCCTCTTTTGAATATTCTTCCATCAGTTCATTTTTAACTTTGGTATAATAATCCACAGCATCCTCCTGTTGCGAAATTGATGACCGTTACATTCAAGTGCCCAGTGGCTAGTATCTTCATTAAAATACAGCTTACACAAACCATAGTCTCTCTTCCTCATACTACTTCCACAAACTACAAATCACATCACAATGCAAAGACAAACGAACAAGTTTTTCCTTCTACTTCAATTTTTGCACTAAGATTATATTTCAAAAGTTTTGGGGAATTCCTTTTCTGTATAGTACAAGAACATGAACTATGAGCTACCTGCAATAAATGAATAAAGAGTTTTCTGAAGCTCAACAAAACGTGACACAAAAACTATTCTCTAGTCTTCTAACTCTCTACCTAGCCATAACTAAAAGTCAACACAGTCTCTTACCCTTTCACATCCTCTGACTTCACAACAGCAGAATTGGCCGCACGGCTTAGGGTTGATTTGAACCCGCTTGCCATACTTCTGATGCAGGTGTTCATAGTAAGTTAGGCTTTTTTCTGCCTGTTTTCTGGACAGAAAAACACATCCATAACATTTTGCAAGAAAACAGTATCAACATCAAGCTTAAGTAGTATGTAATCCCCAAGAGAAGAAGTTATGTCAAGGACTGATAAATTAGTCAATAAAGATATTCATATACCTTATTCTGGCTACTTAGTATAATTTCTTTTTGAGTCTGTAATAGCATTATACACCCTACACTTGTAGTGAGGTTCCAGGAAAGAAAAACAAAGAACGATGTTATTCTTGTGTAGCACAGAAGATAACATTTTTCTCTCCTGTAACCAGCACCTCTGGCCCAAGAAGTAGGGTCCCAGAGTTATTAATTCAATAGTTGGATTTTGCACTTTGGACTGCCCAACAATAAATGAATACATGCATGCATAAATAATCAGCAAGTTAAAGCTTATCTTATGCAACACACAACATATCACACCTACAAGAAACGGGCTGAATCCCACAACTCACCTTAAAACACAGCTAAATCTAACTGAAGTCCAGACCAGAACTTTAAGAGCAGAATTCATTTCCAGTGAGTGCAAGCTTAGTACTACTGGCATATGTTGATTAAGGACTGCCAAAGCAGTCACAAAATTATGCTAAACTCAGGTAGATTACAAAAACAAGTACCTTTTTTTGAAGAGATGAATAAGCTTGGCTACATCATAACACAGCTGGACCTCCAGCACAGTGCAGGTTGGGTAGGCAGCACTGAAAAGGAAGCAGTATGTGAGAATGGTAAGAACAGAAAGTACAATGAAGAAACTGTTTCAAAAAGCATCAGTGATGTCTGACATCTCAATCACTCATTTCATTTCTGAATGAGGTATGATAGACTGGAGACTTCCAGAGAGACAGTTACTGAAAGTTACTTTAATATGAGATGTGTAGCATTATTCCCAAGTAAAGGCCATGTGGGAGCATGAGTGGAAAGTGTGGATACACAGCCACCTTCTTAGATTCTAATTTTAAGATCAGCTAACTAACTTTATTGAAATACAGTCTTTTCTCAATTTTGTCTAAGGAGTAAGACCTGCTTTTAAAGATGAATACTACAACAAAAATTTTAAGCAGTGCAAGAGTCAAAACACATTTCTGCTTGGGCAGGTAAAACTACTAGGACAATTTTGTATCTCCTGTTCCTAATGGTACTACTCAAGCATGGAACTTACGTGAAATGGCCTTGTATTGTCTCTTCTTTTGCATTTTTTGGAAGACCAGTTATAAACAATGTGCACTTAACCTGCAAGAGAAAATACAACTCCAATTTTGAGAAAGCACATCATGAAAGAGAAAACAAGAAGGTAGCAACACAGCACAAGTAGCTGTGTCGTAGAGGGGAAAAAAAAGGATAGTAAATTTTGATTTTGATGGGAGCTGCATCTATTCAAGACAGCGCCACATTCACCTTCTACATTGGTAATAAGTTACAACAAAACTTCACAAATCCCTCTCCAACCCCCTTCTTGCCATTCATCTTCACAATTCACTTGGTAGAGCTTTGCTTTCAGTAAATTCCTTCACACTTATGTCACATTCTAGCAAGCAGGAGGCATCTTAGCAATATGGTCTTTTAGCACTATCCACTTGCAAATATGCTGTGTAATTTTTTCACCCCAACACAGAAACTTACTGTGTTTTCTTCTTTATATGTGACATACTTCATGTGATGTCTCATGAAGACAACAGTCAGAATCAGGTAAACAACAGCAAAAACTGTGTGCAGCCAAAGAAGATTATTGCTGTTGGATAAAATGTTATGAATATGAGAAACGGGAAGAACTAATTGTCCAACTGATACAAGTAGCCATCAAAACGCTAAGCAGACGGAACTTCTCATCGAAAAAAAACCAAGAAAAAAAGGTAGTTACTGATAGTCAGTCATGCCCATGCAGATGCCTATGCAGGGTTACTTGCTTATCATAAAATTCTATGGATAACAAACCTACAAAGCGCCTTCTCATTCAGATGACCAATAGCACACACCATGCTGTTTGCCAAAATGTTTTTTATTGGCCTTATTAGTTACTGTGCTGAGTGGATAATTGAACTCTCCTTGAACACAATCCTTACTCAAACTGAAAACAGCCTAATACAGGGAATAAATTCTGCTTCTCAGATAGCTCCTTCCTCAAAGCTTACAGAAGTTCTGTTCTGAGAACAGTTATTCAGTTTTGTGAAGAGCATTAATAATTACAATTAACCTAAAATACAGGAATGTATTCTACAGATTAAAAAAAACCCAACCAAACAAAAAATCCCCACCAGTTACTAGGATTCATAATGTGGTTAAAAACAAGTGCATTGGCAGAAACACTATTTGACACAGTAGCATGGATAGATGTGGACTGATCAAGTAATAAAACAGAAAAACTGTACAGCCGTGTATCTCAAATATTTTACAGACTGTTTTTACAACACACAAAAGTAATTTTAATCGTGATCTGGGATGGGAGAGATATGCATACACATAAATCTGATGTAAGAGAATTTAAGTCATCTGAGTTACACATTCTAGTAAAGCTGTCAGCTTTATTTTCCTTCTGGAGTATGGTTTCTTTTAACGTGGAAATTTCTGAAAATAATATTGCTCGATGTGCAGTCATTAGCCAAGAGAAACATGTGGTGTAAGAAGTAAGAGCTGAGAGAGTAGAAGCCAAGTCTCCAGATTTCTTATCAGCACTGTAACTGCATAGCCTGAAGCAGAACACATCCCAGTTTCAGTTGGCAAAGCATGAATAAGTAATTCCTGCCCCATGAGCCACGCTGCAAGTATCAATTCATGTGTTTAGACACTACAGCAGGAAACAGACATAAGCATAAAAGTACTCTGCAAGATTTACTTACCCAGTTTGTAAGTTTACTATAGTTGTTCTTCCAAAACTATAGGGATCTTTATCTAAGAAGAACAAAAACAAGTAGCATAATTAACTGGTGCAACATTTATATGCAAACTATCCGAAAGTCAGCTTTTATTCTATTCTTTAAAAAAATGTTGATATACTTCTTTTTAATGCTGAGCACGTTCATTGTTAAAAAGATTTAGAATCATAATCGATGCTGGTTTAGCCTGTATTGCATTTTAAAGTTGGAAAAAAACCAAACCCCAGGATTATACCGCATTCAACCCATCAAGAGAAATAATAGACTGTTTTTAAAAATCTGAATACTAGATCTTTGCAGCAGTTCCCTTTCTCCCTCCAATCTCCTTTCACATTCATGAACAAGATTGTTTAGGGATTTGAACATATTCCCATTTTCATTCCATTTTCACTGATTCCTTATCTCAGATTTTAAACTGCATTAATTCAGTGTTGACAAAAGAGTACTGATAACCTTACTAAGGTCAAAAATGAGAAATTTTATATGACATGTTTCTCTAGACTGTCAAGTATTTGAAAAAATGATAATGCAAGTGAGTGAAAATTGAGTACATGTTGACAAAGGAAAAAGAGCTAAGTACATCTGGAAAGCTAAACAATCTTCTAGCACAGACTGTTAAACCACACTGCAAGTTAAGTCATCAGAACAGAAAGAACTGCAAATCCACCATACATGGATTTTGTGTAAGGGGAGGAAGGCACACTAAAACTTCATATTTGTTTTTCAGCTGTATTTCCTAGCATTACAAAAATTAATGCAGGAAAATAGAAGTTGTAGTCTCCTGCTTTAGAAGGCCAGCCACACGGCCATTTGATTTAAGAGACCATCTGTTGGTATCCAAGATACTACAACTTTTATCCACTTGAGGTTAGAGAAGGTCAGTGCACACAAATTGATGTGTATTACAAAATCCATTTTGGAATAAATATACAGGCAGTAACTAGACCAGAAGAGGGAACTAAATTCTATAAGTTCTTTGAAGGCATCAGCATTGCTGTCTTTACTTTATGAAAGAGGTGAAGACAGCAACTAGGGCAACAGTTGTGTTGGATCTGATTCTGTAAAACTAGGGATAAAGGCTGAGAACAGACACGGAAAGCAAGGAAGGAGGAGTGACGGGGAAAGTGATAAAGGGTGCTTTGAAAGAACAAAAAAAAGAAAAATGCAAAGAAAAAAAAAGAACAGCAACCGTCTTTAAGAAAGCAGATATTAATATAAACAGAGAATTGCTAAGAAAGAGCTCATAAAAGGGAAGTCAGAGATGGCAGTTCCAGAAAGAAACAATACTAAAGGCACAGGTACAACATGCCCCATTACAGACAAGGGCTAAGTCACAAGGCTCTTTAAAACGCAGGTACGAGTAAACTGAAAACAAAAACTAGGCCACATTATTAAGGACAATAGAAGAGAATAAATTATAGGGACAAAGATCAGCAAGGTCAGTACACAAAATAAGATGCAATTGTTGTGGCATAAGGACAAACAAAACAAAAACAAAACACAAGCAAGTACTTCACTTGAGAGCTCCTGGGAAAACCAAAGGAATTCTTGCCTTTTTTTGCATCACTGTTCACCAAGATGATCAACAGTGAACAACTCTGTAAACATGATCTTGACAAGACTGATACAAAGCCAGGTATAAAACAGGCTTATAAGGGCTCATTATCAAAAAGAGAAGATCTAAACAGGATTTAACAGAGTTCTATCCACCAGTATTCTCATTAGCAACCTGAGTGACAGATTAGAGGACACACTTATTGTATTTGTTGCGTGTGAGTTAATAATGGATAGAAGTAGGTGTCACACTGGCAGACATAATCAGGACTGGGCTGCAAGAAACATGAAGCAATCTTTGTCTAGTCAGCACCAACAAAGTCTCAGCGAGAAGATTTGAGCTGCAAACCAAAACAGAAGTGAACAATGGGAGACTGTCTAGCTAGATATAAATTTTGCAACGATATAAGCCACAACATTCTTCTCAGAATATAAAAAAAAAAAAATCTTACCAAGTAGATCACCTGATAGGTTGACAGGCAATATGACACACACAGACAAAATGCTGACAGCAATCAACAAACAGATGATGTGACGCTGGAAGGCAAGGTAATGTATGGCATCTTCACCGCATCTCTCATGAATCTCATCATCGCTGCATCATAGATAGAAAAGCACACGGTCAGTCTACTTAATATCCTTGGGGTTTTGGGGGTAGTTTTTGAACATACATTAATTTCTCATTCTACCCAGTGACATCTCCATCAATCCCTACACATTTTCATCATGGTTGTGTTCTTTCACGTATAAACTTAAGTTCTAAAAGTGCCTTTTTCTCATGCAGTACCAACATGCAAAAATGAACATGAGGGAATCTGAGACAGAAACAAGTAATCTGAAAACCAAATATAAGTCCAAGTTCTTTTTTATCAGTCTAAGAGAGGACAAAGTCATTGTTGTGACCTCCTGCTTTATGACAGTCACAAGGTGTGAAGCCTAGCTGTCACACTTTAAGATCACACTGTGACAGTGTTCACTTGTCTCCACTTGGCTCCCCATGAGGAAAATGACAACACAATCACCTTACTCGTACAACATCCAATTAACAGAAGATATTAATAGGCATTGGAATGAACTCTCATCATTTATCTAACTAGCAAAAAATGGAGAAAGACAGGCTCAATCCCAACTCCTTTTCTGTTTCAATGTACCCAAGCTAGAAATTGATTTTTAAAAACCATGATTTACTAAGCCCCAAGAGATACAAAGAACAGACATCACACATCTAACATTCAGTTTCTGGGAAATAGTGGGATGGGCTTTTCCTAGTTAGTCAATTCCAGCCCCAACTAAACCACCAGTTCTCCACAGAAATCCTTGCCAGGAAACCCTGTTTCCTGCCCGGGGCCCTACTGGCTTCAAACAGGGGAACACCCACACAGTACTCTTTGAAGGGTAAAAGCCTAGAGCCTAGTTATTAGCTCAGAATCCATTTAAATGCCAAAGATTCACTTAGGTTCACACACTGTCTCAAAATCAGGAAGTCCCTGGGCTGCCAGCAGAAGGACGACTATATCCTGAAGAAGTATTCTCATAAGCTGACCTTGTTTTCATATTCTTTTTCCACACCAGAGGCACCTGTATCACTGTTTGCATTCAATTCTATCTACTCAAGGAAAAAGACCCCAACCAATCATTTCTGAATGCGACCCCACTTTTTTAATTACAAAAAGAACAAAGCAAACCACAGCTCACTATTTCTGTTTTATATACTTACTGCATCCGAAAAGCAGCTGTCATCCAAGAACAAAACCCCTATAAATAAAGAAGGACGTTTTCAGGAGCTAACATACTTGTACAGATTAGAGACTATATTTTTTGTAAGAGAAGTGTTTCCATTAAGCCAATCTCTTAGTTAAAGTTTGTTTGTTGCTCTGAAATTATCATTTAGAAACATACAGAAAAATACCTTATACCCTACAGACTTTTTACAAGGTATTTCATATATCTGTCTTCAGAGAGTATTTAAGGTTGGGGGGGTTTTTTATTACTTGCACGTTTATTGCTTGGGCTTCTTTAAATTTACACAAGTGTGACCAAATCCCACCTTCAATGGACACAAGTCAAGATTGAGGCTTCTAAAGAATTCTTTTTTAAAGGACTGTTTTAGAGCAGAAAAGATGATTAATTTTTTCCAGAACCATTTCCAGAGACTCTCCAATTTCACGGATAAGTTCCATGAGTCTAATACAAGTTAATCAGTTAAATGGTAGTTAGAAACACCACTGTGATTACATTGACGGAAAGGTTTCTTGTATAGGTTTACAAACTCTCCTATGAAACTGTACAGCAGAGATCACATCTCACTGGATGTTCCAGTATGGTTCAAAGAAATTTTGTCTCTCGACAGGCCTCGTCTTCCAAGTGACTAGTGTCGAGCTAGAGAGATACATTTTTATTCAAGAGTTTCAATGATAAAGTTGCTTTAGGGTTTTACAAAAGATGAAGAAAACTACACCAATAGCAGAGCAACCCTGATCAAACACCAGTATGTTTTTGATGCTCACACAATTATTTAGTTGCAAGGCTAAATATTAAGTTGATACATATATAAAAGTGTAGGCTGCCACCACTGGACAACTCTCGCATGGTTCATTCTGAAGCTGCAACAGGAAACGCTAGAGATGTGTGAATTCAAAGACTCCAGAATGACTGTGGATGGAATCAATCAGAAGTTTGGCCAAAAAATTATCTTCCACTCCATACCAGTTTTAATATTAAGAGCACATGGCATTATTACTAGCCTCACACTTGCATCCAGTTTTCTCATCTTCATGAGGAAGACAATGTACTATAAAGACCAACTAGGTATTATTTGCAATGTGAACATAGCATAATTTGTACTTAAATAACAGTTCAAAAAGTTATTTACTAGTGTTTTTACTCCCTCTCCCTCCCCCCTTTTGAACGTCCAAGATATAGTCTCTTTCCTAATTAAAAAAAAAAAAGTTACTTGAAAACAACACCACCAGATATTGGTTTATGATATGGCAATAGTTTGTCAGAGAGAGATTAGGTATGGTTCTATAAAAACACAATAAAGAATGCATTACTCTTTTTTGCATATAGATGGTCTTCCAGTTTAACGACTGGTTCATCGGACTAGGTGAAATGGCAAATTACAACAGATTTCGTTAAACAGTTTACATTTTAAAAAAAACATATCAAAACTCTAGAATATTTACCCTATCATATTCAAGATCTTCAGGTACTGATGAAGATGTTGACAGTCGGTTGTATCTTGATTCACTAAAATACATTAAATGATGCTTTTGAATATCTTCAATAACAGACGATGGAATTCCACAGAATTATTTCAACTTTACATATTTGGAAGTAACTAAAGGAAGTAGTACAAAACCACTTTTTCTCTTATGAAAGTTGTGGCTTTCACCTTGTAGCACATGCTTAATTTTAGAAACTTGTGCTATGTCTCATGTTGAAAAGGGAGGACACTCAAGCTCCTGAGGTGAGAGCATATAACTGAACTAGAAAGAAAACAGTGTTTTACTGGGATATTAAAACCACAGTAACATAAGAGAATGCAACACAGGTTTGGAAGTCCAGCGAGGATCAGGTTCGCGAGCTAGCTTCCTGTTTAGATATTCCTCCTTACAAGACATCATCTCTCTTCCCTCCACCTTTCTGCCTTCATCTTACAACCACCACTCAGAATTTCACCGCACAACTAAATCCCTTACCTGCAGGACCACCTCCTCATACAAACCAAGTCCCGTAGCAAGGCTAGAAACATTGAGAGACTCTGTAGCCCTCAAAAATAGCAGAGTATTTTAGTTTTTAGTTTGTTGCTAAAAAGAAATGTTGCAATGGTGATGTACCCATAATTACAGGACAATACACAGAAAAATGGAGTGTATCCATAGGTGAATCTATGATTTTGACCTAGCTGGCTCAGGTCACAGTCCAGCAGGGACAATAATGTAGGCTCCTAGGTGTCTGACTGCTCAAGGACCTGTTTGTCCCAGGCAGGCCTCTACAGCCCACGCGGAAGCCTATACCAGAGCATCTTCATTCTTGCTGCCTGTGCTAGCTGGATTGAAGCAGTCTCAATTAATGTCCATCTGTTTTTTTCCCCCGCTATCTACTTTTCACAATTGTACATGGATTACACCCCAAACCACATTTTGAGTCCTTTCCTCTTGTTTAGTTGTGAATTTCCTACAACTTAGACCATAATATCAGGAAGAGGCTCCTTGTTAAAGTTTACCCACTTCTTAAATAGACAGTTAGTTTCTAAGCATGCCAGGGCATCATCCTGTAGAAGTAGTATTTTACAAAAAATAATCAAAAGCTCATTTGCAGTATTACTAAAAATAAGTGAAGAATTTCAGAAATCTGCAACAATACATTTCTTTTTTATTTTTAAACCTTTCAGAAATATTATGGCACAGGCAGCTCTAGACTCCAGACAAAATAAATAAAATATTAAATACCCTTCTATACAGAAACACACTGCAAACATCAATGTGTAGATATGTGACATCTTAGCAGACAAGCAGTCTATTTTCTTACCTCTACTTCCTTAACCCACAACTGCAGAATGAAATTCATGACCAAACACACAATTTTATTACTAAAACTGTAAAGAGCAATTCTGTGAGTGGGACGTTATTTCACGCAAAGCAGCATGAAGACATTTTTAACAAATATGTGCATGTGATTACAAACATATCTAACTGACACAAATGCACTTAATTTAAGCCCTATTTACTCTTCCTACTTCCACATTTCCCAAACGGTTTCAACAAATCAGTCTGATTTTACCTTTTTTACCTTTGTTGAAAGGGTAAAATCTTTTTTACCTTTCAGTTTCTGACACCAGAGCAACACGACCGTAGTCCCAGAATCTCTTTCTTATAACGGAAAACAGTAATATTAAAATCTAGAAAATAAAAAAAAAGATCTTTGAATATTTACCTTTCCACTTCATAATAATTTTTCTTAGGTGTATAGGAACTGTCAAAAAATGCTGTTCTAGCTCTTAAACCAGCTGTCATATGTTAACCAACCCAGTGGTGACCATGCTACAAACCAATTTGTCTGGGACCAAAGGACCCGCCTTCCTGTTCTAATTTATAAAGGAAGAGAACTGCATGCAAAAATAGCTCTGAACTGCAAGTGTATGAAGGTTTGCGACAAGAAAAGTAGCAAGTAGTACTTCAGAGGAAGTAAAAACTTTCATAAATACATCTTCGCTATTATTCATTACTTAATGACCGAACTATGATGGAAGATTCGCAATTTTAAACAGTGATGTAAACAGGCTATAGGGGGCTCAACTATTTTCTCCAGCATGAGAATTATTTTTATCCTTGTAAAAGTAAATATATTATCATAACTCCACAGAAACTAGACCCTAGAAACTTATATTTGATCTCTGCAATGTATTTTTATCTCCCCTGTTTGCACTTTTTGAAAGAGGCTAAGAAAACAAGGAAAAAAAAAACCAAACCCAAAAGCACACTATGTATTTCACAGATGCGTGGTTGTTGGGTTTGTTTTTTTTAAAGAAACAAGTTGCTCTGTACGAAGCAATTAAGCAGAAGTAACAAGGCCTGTTTTCTATGCATACGTAGCATACGCCCTCACCTCCTAGGCCCTCCTACATCCCATACCTGTTTGGCTAGAAAGTGGTGCTCGTGATGTAACTTATTTGGATCCATGCGAATACAACTGGCCAGCCAGGATACAGGCCAAGATTATCTATGTGTCAAGATTACACAACTAATTTCCGCATTTCACAATGAATAAAACCTTCTTACAAGAGCCTTCCTCCCAACAGGGAATAATAATTTAGATCTTGCTCCTGCATCTGGCCATTAAACTTCAGGCAAGCAGGAATTTCAAGATATCAAGTTCTCTAGACTCTTTGACAACCTCGGCTGAAATTGGCTAATGTATTCTACAGTTATTAGGAGGAACTGCCAGACCAAGATGGAAAGACAGTGCAATATATAAACCCCACTTCCTTAGGAAACCAGCCTAGAAATAATATTCAGAAACCCAGCAACTGACAGTTACTAAAGGGATCTGCAGTAAACACGTCATGAATGTAGGAATACAGGAGTTGCTAAATAAATTGCAATACTCGGTACTTGAAGAAGAGAGGAGCCTTCTGCATTGCATCTGACTCTCTACCTAACTTTCAGAGGAGGGTTCAATAGCAAGGAACTCAAAAGCAGAGACTCAGTATCTTAAAATTCAATCACAGCTTAAAAAAAAAAAAGTCCCCCAAACACTCCAACTAAATCTTATTAAATGCTGTGCCATCAGTCGCACAGAGCAGTAATACTGTACATCCTCAGCAAATGGATTTGTGGTAGCATGCTGCATACACCTAACCAACAGCAAAGAATGCCACTACATTACTTTTAGGAACATCCTCCACATTCCTACAGAGCTACTAGCTCAGACCTTACACAGGTAGTTTTAAGTCTCCACAGTGGCTTTCTAGAATGTGGGAACTATGTCATCCTTTTAGTCTCATTTTACTGCCACAAATCTCACTTATCAGGCCAATTTGCAGGTCTACAGCTTTTTTTCTGGTGGCTCAAGACCACCTACACCAAACTTATAGAAATAACCATAAGTCTTATTGGAGCCTTAGGACTGTCCTGGAGCCTCCAGACCAGCAACTAATCCTATTCCTCCTTTTGTCAGGACTGAGCTGACCAGTATATTATTTCCTCGACAGCTTCATGAAATCTAATTTTTAAAAAGTTTGTCAAAAGATAGATTTTCCGTATTGTATTTCCTTTTGAAAAAACAAACAAGTTAACAATGCTGTTCCCTTCCTGAAAAGGTACCCAGTACTCAGAGTAAGGAAAAAATGTTCTTGCAGTTAAGACAAAACATAGAAATTTGAGCTACTACTACAAAGCCCACCATGACTCCACATGCAGACATTACGATATCGCACTCTCTCTACATCTACGCATCCAACATACAGTGACACTGTCACCCCACATGTATGTGAACCTTTATCGATACTTGAAAAATGCCTTGATGTTCCCAAGATGGCCTTTGCACACTTACTATTCTGAAGATTCTCAGAAAACAAATCCCTACCTGATAAATAAGAGAATTCTGAACAATTTAACTTTTGAGAAGGTCAGAAGGATTTTCAAATAAGAAACAGAAACTGGGCTTACAAAAAAGAAGGTTACATCAAGCAGCAGGACAGTTGGGATTCCACCAAAAGTTACTCCTTGGAGCACCGTGCTGCCCTGGGCAGTGCTGTAGCAGTACGTCTCATTTGTCGAGTTGAAAGGTACGCTTCTATTCCAGAAGTAGACTAGATGAGAATGTCCAAAACCCAGAAAAAAGAAAGGGTTCATTTTGTCTTTCCCTTAAAAAAAAGAAAAGAAAAAAGTGAAACAACCATGTGAAAAGCCTGCCTAGTATTTATGAGATGTACTAATGTTACAAGTACAAAAAGTGCAGGAAGATTCAACCAGGAAACTACTTTGGAAGTGAAATCATATTTGACAATCTTTCCCTGTAAAATATTTCACAATAACTGACTGGCTCAGTTAGTAGCAGCGCCCAAGCAAGAATTCCAGACATCTAACCAACCACATCCTCTATAGGCATTCGAGGAAGACTACAGAAGACCCACACAAAACAAACTTCTCTATCTTCTAATCTATAACATCAAACTACTTATTCCAGCCTGGATTCTGATTCCAGGAGTAACATGGGGCATTTCCAACAATAGCAGTTTGAGGCTTTTGCTCCTAGTTGATGAGCATGTGTGAACGTACTGGCTTGTGAACTTTGTATTCAAATGTCAAGATCTTGACATTATTAACAAATTTGCCACAAATTCCACAGAAAAGAACTACTACACAAATACACATGCTCCCCTCTGTTCTTAGAATATTGTGTGACTTTCTTTTTTTAATAGAATTCAACTAAAAGAACAGCACAGTAACTACAGTATATCATGAAGAAGAAAGAACGAGTATTTCTGATTTTCTAAGAGAACAGTCATCTTCCTCATTTTAGTCAACTGACCTGCTCAGATAATGTAGTAACAGACAAAAATGCACAAGATTTAGCTATTCATATAAAGGTCTTTTTATTAGTGCAGGCAATTGCTCACTTATTTCAGGGCTTTCCACTTCAAACATTTCTTTTCTTGGATCTTACTAACTTGATGATTCCCATATACTTCGGACAAAAGCATGCTTCACGCAGAATAAACTTCTGACTGATAAATTCATAAAGAAAGTGTACCACAAAACCCTCTATCCTTTAAAAGCAAATACTGTAGGTCCTCATCACACAGGTCCAGGGACACTACTTTTGGGATATCATGCCTCTGTAAGAGGACTCCACATGCCTCGTATGACAGCTCTATTCTGGATGCTGAAAACAAAACCACACCAAACTAGGAATATGAATAACTACAAGTTCTCCCTTTAACCAGCAGAAAAACAGCATGAAGAATACTCCTCCCAAAACAGCATTTACTAAATGTTGGACCGAGACACAGTGGTGAAGAAATTTTGTCACACCTGACATGTTTAATCACAGAAAAAAACCAAACCACTGAAAATTTGTGCCATGAACCTGTCCTTGTTTTCTAAGGATTGAAATTTAGCAGTGACAGAAAAGAGAGTATTTTTAAACATACTTTGGAAACCTTTGTCACAACAACTGCAGAGACTGTATGCTAAATTTTAAGGAACACACTGGATCTTATCAGGCACAGTTTCCAATTCTTGAAAACTATTATTTTTAAACAGGCCAGCTGTCAGGAAGATAAAAAGAATGGCAAGACCTCCCACGGGTGGGGCTGCGCTGCAGCAACCCATCGAGCATGCAACGAGCGGCACTTCGCCACCTCTCCAGAGGACGCGAGCACCGGTACGGGCTCTAGAAACGAGAAACCGTCTCCCTTATTTTGACTGGGACCCTGACAGTATCCCCGGCCCCGGTAGGGCCGTGAAATCAGGGCTGGCGGGGCCGGTTTCCTCAGGCGGCACGCCAGTTTCCTCAAGCGGCACACCGGATAACGCCAGGGCTGGTAACTCGCGCAGGGA